CATAGGAAAGGCAGGTTTCCATTACATCATGTAATTATTTCCCAAAGCACCATTTTACAAGGTAACATAGATGTCTAGTGGTGGGGGCTTTACTTTCCTTCCAGGGGATTCCAGAACAGAAAAGAAAGACTCAGGTTTGCTGTTTGATAAGTGCAACATCTTTACCTTGTCACTTACTAATTTCCCCCCAGTGGTAGGAAGCCGTTGGTTTGATCACATCAGAGGCTGGTATGAGCACAGACATGACTTCAGTATTCTGTTTATGATGTATGAGGAAATGAAAAAGGTAAGAGGCAAAGGTTATTTTTAAAAATTATTTCTTTGAAACCCTTTTTGATTTTGGTTTAAATGAACCACATTTTCCTAGTTTTCTTGGAACCTAACTACTTCTCATGCTTTTTCAGGGGTTTCTCATTTCCTGCCTGTCCCTCAATTATTGGTTTCCTCAGGGCTCTCTTCCCACTGTACACAGTCATGTTTTGTGGTTCCTTTTCATGCAGCCATCTGTGTCAATAAGGGCAAACTCACATGACTAGTGATTGAAAAAAGAGAAAAGGCATTTCGAAACAGTGGGGCCAGCCCTGGCCAGTGTGACTACTTGGTTAGGTGTCATCCTATGCATTAAAGGGTTGCTGGTTTGATCCCCAGGCAGGCCTGGGTTGCAGGCTTGATCACAGGTAGGAGGCACGATGTTTCTTTCCCTCTTTACTTTTCCCTCTCTAAAAATCAATAAAAATATTAAACAAACAAACAACAAACAAAAACAACCCTGGGGTGAGAAGCCACTAAGATTTGGCCAATTAGTCAGAAGTAATTGTGTGCCCAATGATGCAAGTTCTTTGTGTTTTGTTGTTGTTGTTTTTATTAATGAGAATCTTGAAATGTAGCTTTCATGGAAATCACATAACATTTACATATTGGCATCCAAGAAACTGTTATAATACATTTTATAAACCAAACCAAACACATTTGAAGTTCACTTTTGTGATCTATGGTTGATATGTTGACTACCTGCTACATATCTTACTTGCTCATTAATTCAAAATTATAAAATGCCTATTATGTGACAGACCCTAAATCATCAGACAAAGACAATTGAACCCTTTATTTATTTTTTTAATATATTTTTTTATTGATTAAGATATTACATATGTGTCCTTATCCCCACGTTACCCCCTACCCCTCCTCCACCCCCCCCCCGCTCATGGCCTCACACCCCCCCCCCCCCGTG